GCCACATACAAAAGTTCACACAGGCAAGTATAATGCACAGTAATGACACAGGTGACATAATAAAGTAACAAGAGAAGCGCTGTTTCTCATGAAGATAACAATAGAAATGCAACACAGACAGAAAATTAAGTAAAGTCATTTAACAAAACATTATTCAGTAGCCCTCCTTCAGCCATTTTCTCACTGGACTATTAATTTAATTTAATATCCCCTAGGAGCCTAAGGGGAAAGCATCTGTATCTCAGGAAAGATTTGATACAGTAGGGTCATTAATTTTTGTTCTGCAGCCCACTTTAAAACAGAGAAGCTGTTGCCTCTTCTCTTCTTTCCAGTTCGACATGAAATTACTGTAAGCCATCAACTATTCCTACAATGACAACTTCCAGAAAAAAACCTTCAAGACTTCCAATGAGATGCTGAACATACCTTCAGAACTGAAATAACTAAGCAAAAATGTCAAAATTAATCAGTTCTATATTTAGGATTACAATTTCTGTAATGGAAATGCCCTCAATGTTAGTTGTGACTCCTGAATATATACCAAAACAAACAGATCCACACACCTTGATTTTCCACTAGGACTAAAATAGTAAAAATAAAAGAAAAAAAAGGAAAAACTCTGTTGCTTTTGAAATCTCAAATAAAAGGGACTGGTTTTAAATGAGTACACGTAGAGGCAATAAGAAGGAATACAAGAGTGAACTATAAATGCCAGAACAACCACACACACACACACAAAAGAAAAGTTTGTTCCTATTGCTGTTTCCTGTGTTATTTAAAAAAATAATAATAAATAAATAGAAGAAAAAGAAAAAAGCAAACTTTGTTCCTGTGAATTGTACTAGATTTGCCAAATATAAAGAGGGTAATCCTCCATTTCTGCATACAACAAACACCTGTAGAAGCCATTCAATTTAACTCACATCTTAATCGTGACCCAGGGAGAACATTTCTAAATTGATATCAACATCCAGCTTAATTTTAATAGCTTAACCTTAATTTTCATAGCTTAATCTTTGAAGTCATTTTAGAAGTATGAGTGCTAGTCATAACAGGATTACAACAGGTGCATGTAAACAAATAGTGTTCAAATACCCTAAATATGGGCATCAAACACATTACTTGCTCCCTGCTGTTTCACATTTCCTAGTGGTACCATCATTGGTATCACGAACACAGTTTAACTATTAATCTCTTCCTACCTGTAATTCAGGAAATTATCAGTTACTACTGAGGCAGCTTTCTTTCTCTGTATGATGCAAAAAGCACTGAGGTGGCTAGCAACACTGTGCTACATTTCCCTATAGGAATATTTTATTCTGAAAAATCATTTCTCAGACTATTATGTTTCATTCTTACAATGATTCCCACGGTGAACTAGAAGAGCATGCTGGATCAATACCTTCCAATCTAACTCTTAGCAACAAATTCCCATAACAGCAGAGAGATTCACTGTGCTAGGGTAAGTCCATCTGTTTGGATCAGTACTTGTGGGAGGAAAACTTACATGTTGCCAATGTGTACAAAGATCTAAATGCCACTCCAGCATTTATTTATGAATCGTGTGGTTCGGGCAGAAAAAAATCTAGTTTCTATTGCTGTTCAGGGAGATTCTTGCCATTTATTTCTAGAGAAGTAAGAGATAAGACATAATCCTTACATATATTATTTACCCTGGTTTAAAGCATCTATTTATGAACTTTATTAAGCCTGTATTTTAAGCCCTCATTCTCTTCCAGGCCTTTGTTGATCTGGTTATTTCAGGAAAAGCAGGCACTCTCCGGAAGGTATATCAAATAAATATTAATAAGTGTGGTTTTCTCCACTACCTAAACATAGTCCACTGATGCTACTACTGCAGCTGAATTCACATTCTCAAAAATACTGCAAAAATAGGGTGCAACTTCTTCCAGTTTAAAACAAGAACAAACGAGTTATAGTCTAGAATACCAAATAACCTTGTTACTGAAGCATAATCAAACCTAACGAAAGGCGGTATTTAATGGAACAAGTGATCTACATGATCACATTGGAAAGCTTTGCTGGGTCTGCAGCTAAGCTCCAGGCCTGCATGACTGCAGCTCCTTACGCTTCCCTCAGGCATGGTTCAGACAATACTCACACATTAAGGGATGCTATTTCAGCACAAAAGCAAATACCAAGCATAAGCTGTGACATTCTCTTGAAACCAACCATTTTTCTTTATCAACAGTCATGCACAGTTTTGTCTTCAATGTAGAAATTTAAAGAAATAAATGAGTTGTTTGTTGTTTGTTTTTTTTTTTAATCAAAAATTGACTGAATGAGCACATGGATGAATGTAGTAAGTATACTGAATGCAATGGGAACAACGCCTCAAGAGCTTCCCTTTATAAAAAACAGTGGAAAAAAACATTTTGTGTAGTTGTAATACAACATTTAGTTTGTGTCTCCATTTTTTTTCAGGGGGAGGGTAAGAAAAGGAGGAAGTGATCATATTTACAAACTTCTGCCCTTTGAAAGGAAAACGATGACAGCTAATGACATGAGATTATCATGCAATCAAGCCCATTAAAATTTTGCATTTCAATGCCTACTGTAAATATACATTTGGGATAAAATAGAACAACCACACATCCTAAAAAGTAAGCAATTATGGAAGAGGATGCAGTGACAGAATAAAAATAGGGTTTTAGGATTACTATCATACATATGTGAGAAACACTCCATAGCCAATCACTTAGGCTCAGGCGAGGATCTCAGTGAAGTAGTAATTTATTCGCGATTGCAATGGCGGGCGCCCCACAAGCAGGAGAGAGCGCATCTACTAGTTCCAAAACACAGTTTATATACCTTTTGATGGCAGGACCCTCCCCTGTTTCCCCACTGAGTGGGTAATCCAGGTTCACAATCTATCTGATGCTTCACAAACAATGCATGGCCTTCAGTTGCCGGCCTGTTAAATTTCAAATTTCTTTTGACATTTTTACTGCTTGAAGTGGTAATGTTTCTTCACTTATCTGACTTGACTTGACACCGTGATTTTCACCTAATTGTCCTAAGGAGACTGGTTGTCTGCATTTTACAAGGTCGCCTGCTAAACTTTCTTATCACTGTAAGCATATCTCAGTACCACATTCCCTCCTTCTAAACAATGTAACTCTGCAAAAACAACATTTCTATTCCCACACATATTAAATGTCTTATTAAAATAATGAGAGAGGAACTTTAACAGTTGCACAGAAAGGCCTAAATATTTAAGACTTTTCATTGGTAAACGACTGCTTTGATCAGACCATATTTCAACTCTTTTTTTTAGTGAAGGACCCAGTTGAACCTTCTGAGAACAACTCTGAAGGCTTAAGCTACTCCAAGTGCAAGATGGAAAAAGAAATGTATTTCAAAATAATACCAGGAGTTAAATCTACCTTACAAATAATCTGTTGCTAGATCATAACCTATGCTAAGAATTCAAGTTAGTGCAAGTCAAATACTCATCATTTTGCTGAAAGTTTTTCTAAGATAATGAAAAGAGGACAGAAATTTGCTCTGTGGGAGTAAAAGCAATCATAGCACCTTAACTTCCAAACTCAGCCTTTGTGCTTCACTTTCCGGCTACTGAAGTGTTCACTGTAATATGTGGTAATGGGAAAGGGAGAGGAGTTCCCGCATCCATATAAGCGTTGTCCCCTCTGCTCTGACTTTGAATCACAGTAATTTGATATTTAAGTACCAAGGACATGAACTTCACAAATCACCTTAAAGGAATGTTAATTTCAAAGCTTATTTGTGGTCAATATATGCTGATATGGTTACTGTCAAGCCAAAGACCCAACTATTTGAGCTGTGTCATTGAAAAGTAATTATAAAGGGACAGCTGTGTACAGTTCTGTGTGACCCTGTGGAGTAGTGCAAAATAAAACTCCAGAAAACCAGAAGCATCCTGTGACAACTTAATGGAATACAGGCAAAAAAAACAACTGTGATATATTTTAAATTGCTGCTTCTAATGGAGCATTACAGAACATCACTTAAATTAATGAGCAGTTTATCTCAATGGCATAACCTAAAATGGCTTTCACGAGTATATTTACTAGGGTCAAATTTTCTCCTTTGTATACTGATGTATAAAATGGCAGCAAGTGACAGAAAGGAATATAATTTTGACAATGCCATGCCAGCCACTGTTTTGTCTGGGGACTGTAGAACAGCTATGGCTCCCACATGTCACTTCACACTGTAGAAAGGAATGGCTTCATTTGTGCATGCTCCAGCTGAAACAGATAAACACAGCCATGTATGCAGAGGCTCTGCAGAGGATTAGGAGATGCAAACACTGCACTGGCATCCTCTCGGTCCCACAATATCACACCACAATCCAGACAACTCCTACTGTTCCAAGGGCAATAAGTAGCTCTCAAAAAGAGAAAGAGGATTAGTATGCTGGAACATCCTTCAGTTTGTGGAAGGACATCTCTTCTGGGTCCACAGAATAATGCTCCCTGAAGTCATTGGAAGCCATTCTGTAAACTATAAACTCAAAGTCCCACAACGTCATGGATTAGTGAATAGCAACACTATGTCAGGCTAGGATATTTTTCCCATAGACAGAAGAAGGAAAGCTATCCTTGGATGCCCCATCCCTGGAAGTGTTCGAGACCAGGCTGAATGGGGCGTGGTCTGGTGGAAGGTGTCCCTGCTCATGGCAGGGGGTTGGAACTTGGTGATCCAACCCAAGGTCCCTTCTGACCCAAGACACTCCAGGATTCTATGGTCCAGTTAAAAAAGCACTAATTCTTTTACCTCATTGGAGTTAGATTTTTCTTCTGAAAGGCAGGTCTGACAAGTCACATTTTCCCCTCTTATTAAATGTTATTTTATTCACTGCTAAAAATAGAATATGAACAAATGTTAATGAATACAGCATATAGTCTATCTTTTGAGGATAAAAGCACACCATTTATGAGAAATTGAATTTACAAAGCTTCAGGACAAAATCCATGTGTGTCCACAATCGTATATCTAAAAGATGATGTTTCAGCAATTTTGTCTTTATTATTCACTAGTTCTATAAAAAAATCCAACTTTAGGCAAAGACCAAATAAGCAAAGATTAAACATAAGAAAACACTGCATGCAGGTCTGCCATACAAAGGGGATTTTTTTGCACCAGATTAATATTAATACATTTTCTTAATACCAAAGAATCGTATCCATTAGTTCCCTATATTATTAAGTATCATTTAACAAGTTAATCCCAATCAGAAATATACTAGAAACATGCAAGTAAAACCTAACTCCACATATCATTAACATTTTAAGCACTACCCTTTTTAAAAAAAACAATGATAGTAATATTTCTTAAAGCTCTGAGGTTAAATAAACCACTTTAAAACTTTATGGAAAAAAAAAAAGAAGACAGTAGCCTTATACAGACAATGCATTAGTATTAAACTACCACAGATCTAAGCTAACAGTGACATCCAGTGGAAAGACAGTCTTATTTTCTTCACGCTATTTTTAAGACATCTTTAACTCAGATAAAACCTCTCATGCAGCACATTCATGTTATGAATATTTAGAAAGATATACCTGTCTTCTATTATACAGGTCCCTGGGAAGATACAGATGTGTGATAACATCAGCACTGGACTTTCATGGAGTTGAAAATTGTGTCACAGCTTCATTTATTTGTCCTAAAAGAGCTCCCATCACAGTTGTTACACTGCAACAAAGTACTTGCCCTAGATTTAAGTATTAAACCAGGCAGCAATTGAAGATTTTACATTAAAAAAGTAGCAAGCTTCTGATAAAACATTTGCACAAGTACTTATTGTCATAGATAAACTAAACTATCTTTAGTTATACTTCATTCAATTTCCTAATATCAATTAATTTTACAGGAAAAAGAGGCTATAAACAAGGAAGCTCTTATGTTTTGGTCAAAAAGAGCTGAACTGTGGAAAAGCTACCTGAAGATCGATGACATTTTTACATATAAGACAGAAGCAGATCCCTTGTATGTGAACAAGACATTGTTTCCTGATTTATCTCCTCATCTCTTCATATACACACATACTTTTCTCTCCACTTGAGTGAAGAAAGAAAAAGAGAGAAGCTGCAGAGAATCCCAGGTACGTTTTTCTTCAGTGAGTGGTGGGAGCTCCCTGGGCTCACCAGCACTGTTTTCCCAGTCTTCTCAGCTATACACGTAAGAATGAAGAAAAGGCTTCTGTAACGCTATTCCCCATCTGCCTCTCAAGCTCCCAGTGGTACCAGCCACGCTGCTGCTTAGCCCATTATTGGCTGACTGGACTGGGAAGAAAGCTTCCATTCCACACCAGCTCCATTTTCACTAACTCTGCCTCCTGTCTTCCTTGATCTTAGATGCAATGAGTCTTGAGACAGGGTTAGGGAAAATTGCACTTTCAGTTTCCATCATATTCCTCCAGCTACTAGCTCTTACCACATCCAGTCTCCCTCTGTAAGCTGATAATTAAATAAATCAAAATCTTTGTTAGACATTCAGACAGCAATCGGTACAGAAGTCTAGCAGGCATGGGAGAGTCTCCCAACCCATCAGTTGTTAATAGGCACTAACTGAGGAGGCTAAGTAGACAGGTGAACTGTGCAGTGACTGTTATAAACTTCTTGCAAGGTATCCAAGGTGCTCCTGAAAGAAGTTCCAAGTTTGAACTACTTCTAATCCCTGCTGGGAACTAAAACAATACTCGTTACGGCTAGACACTGTTCCATAGCTAGCCAAATTAAAATATATAATCACAAGCTCTGATTCCATCACCTGCTCATTCCCACTGTCTTACAATCTTCCTGCTCCAAGAAGAGCGAATCCTAGGTTTAGTGAAAACTACCTGTACGCTTTGACAAAAATTTTTCCTTTGTTGTAGCCACCTGTACAGTACTCAAATGCACTGCATTTCACTTTAAAAGTAAAGCAATTGATTACCTTTTTTTCTGTCTATATTAAGGAATTTCCCCAGAATATTTCCTGACTTCTATTCCTGACACTATTTCAAGTGTTTAGAAGGAAACAACATACCTATATTTCTGCCGATCTGCAACAGATTTAATGTATCAAAGGATACTGAAGTAATTAAAACTATTGGCATTATTCCAAATCTTTAGACAAAAAGATAAGACAGCAAAGCAAGAATAAGTAACCACCTTCTTTTAAGAAATGAACCTTCCCAGCACATAGCTTTCCATGCATAACAACTAATGAGGGCTTAGTGTAATGACAATCTCATTACTCAATCAAGTTTCTGGTTGTTTCTGTTTCAGAACAACATGCATAGTATCAGGTACTGCAGCATAAATGCCTGTTTTTGTTTTCAATATTCAGAATAAATCACCCAATATTTTTTTCCATAAGCAAATAGTATTTTTCCTTCAAAATTTCCTTAAAGTAGTAGGAGCTTACTATGGTGGTAAAGGAAGCCTTACCAAGTGACCAATGGCACTATCCAAAAGCAGAATTTCAATACACAAACGCAGTTCCCACAGGCATGAAGGATCAACCTATCAAAGAGGCAATAAATGAGATATTTCATCTGCATACACAAAATTTAATGTCTAATCAGCATGTGCACTTGCTATAAATATTATGAATTACTAAATGGTCAACCAGCTGTGGGGATCAGTGTCATAACTAAGCATATGAAGTGAGTGAAGGAATGTATGCCCCTTTTTTTTTTTTTTCCTCCAAGAACGGTTGAGACTCTTGACGGTGAAAGAGTTGGGTCTTTTGCATTCTTTAGTGAAAGACCAAAGGCCAATTTGAGAAATACCAATGGCCAGTTTTGAGAATTTATGTATAATCCTAACAATCTACAGTAAGAAAAAGGGTACATTTCCCTAAAGCAGGCAGCAAACTAACCGGTTGTTTTAAATGGAAAATTACCTCAGAGCTCATTTTTGTGATAAGCAAGGCTTAAAATGAGTAGTCCTGACACCATATTTGTTGAGCAATATCAAATAACAGAGTATATTTAAAACATACAGGAGAAATCAAGCAGAATGCTGAAATATTCCCTTGTAAAAACACATCTCTTCTAATTACTGCATTGGAGAAAATGGAGCTAGTTAAGCCATGAACATGACTTGAGATGTGAAATATCAGAAAGATCTTTCCTTCTGAGACAGAAATAGCAGCTATATTAGCTGAAGATAATTATAAGTTTTATAAGTACATTTTGGAAGGGAAACCTGGAAGACAACTTAGATAAAAACAAAAAGGCATTCTTGATGTACTGGGTGTGCTATAATTACAAGCAGAATTTTCCTCAGCAGAGGGGAGGAAAAGCAATTCTTGATTACTGAATCCTTTGAAAGCCAGTTGCAGCTGCTTTTTTTTTTTTAAAAAAAAAAAAAAAAAAAAAAAAAAAACAAAAAAAACTCTTTATACCTCAGTCCTGGCAGCTAGAGCTGCATGAAAAAGCAGCTATTCTTTCTGTACCACACTTTTATTTTAAGGAGAGACTTCTTTGCAGCAGAAAATACATCAATCTCAACAAGTTTAAGAAGTAGCTCAAGAAATAGTCTAAGAATAGAAGTATAAGTCTGCTTTTTAGATAGAATTTGTCAAAAGCCTACTGCTGTCTCATTGCAATTAAAAGTAGCCTGAAAAGTGGAAAAAAATAGTCCTGCAGTTACAGAAAAGTAAAAAGAGATTACGAACCAAGTACTGAAAACATGCAGATGTTGCAAACATCCCAAGGCAATTTTGTGTGGCTACTTAAGTTGCCACACCAAAACAATTACAGTCTAACAATCACAAAAGCATATTAAAAACAAAGTATAGCAACATAATTCCTTTGAAATCAGTAAGGGTGTGAACGCTGCATCAGTTGAAATGAGAATGTGACATATTTGAATAGATAGTTGATTACAAAAAAGCTGTTTTCGTGTGTTACTTTACCATACTAGGGAAAATTACATAAACAGAGAGAGTGATGCCACCTGAGTAGCCTGAAGCGTCGCATCAGATTAAACAGACCTAAGCCACAAACAGTGATAACTAACCAGTGCTCGAAGCCAGGCCACTGAAGCAGCAGTCATTCCTGTGTCAAGGTCATCAAAGAAACAGAGCAATTAGGAATGACTTGTATAGGCAGCACAGCACAAGGGAGTAGAGTCTTGTAGCTAAACAGAACAAGAAGAGATCACAAAGGCTAAGGGGTAGAAGACAACCTTTCTGGATCCATCTCCTCTAATAACAGAACAAGATTCCATCTGGTCCAAGTTCTGCAATGAGCAAAAGGGGAGAGGACACATTTCTGCACCAAACCAAGGAGTGAGGAAGGAAGGCCTATATGGGACAGAATGCAAGAAGTTAAAACTAAAGAAAGTTATATAATTAGATTTAAAGAATTTGATACCAAAAGATAAAGGGGATTTAGTTTCATAGTACTAAGTACAGCACCAGACAGAAATTCAAAGAAGAGACTATATATTAAACAAGAAAACTGTACTGCAAAGTTGGTAAAAAGAACAAATAAAGCTCACTGAAGGCAATTCCTTGAAGTGACTAGATCACATTGACAGTATTAGAAGGAAAAATGGGTACAAAGATTCATTGCCCACACAGAAAAACAGACCACATGTGATGCAACTTAAGGCAGGTTTACATTATTGTTGAGACAAATTCTGAGTAAATATGACTCTTTTTTTTTCTGTGGATCCTTACTCAAATGTAACTGTCTGAAGCTTTGAGGGACAGGCAGTCTAAGTTCAGAACTCTAGATTTTTGCAGTATCTCATGCAGCCTTATACAGATCTGAACAGGGACCCTATAAATACTCACCACATAAACAGGAGGAAGAAGAGCTCAAAGTACCTACCCTCTGTTAGTTATTTTTCCTGTGTGTCAAGAACGTGGCCTGAAGCACTGTGAATAGCACTATATAGAAAACCATTGTGTTTTACTCGTCAAAACAGCTTCAGAGGGAATGCAAATCAGACTTGCTCTTTTATAACAAGAATTCTACTGGAACTATAATACAGAAGAAGCAAGTTAAATCCACCACCTTTGGTACCAAGAAAAGCTCAAAAACCATCATAATGAACAACAAAAAGTGAGAGAAGATACAAGCTTTTAACAATGGAACACTCTTTCAAATGGAGTGTGAAATATGTTCAATTTGCTGTAAATTATAGGCCTGACAGAATAGCACGCATTAAGTAAAAAACACTGAGTGGCTGCTCTAACTGGCATAAATTCTCCAGAAGTGCCCAGTACTACAGCGCTGCCAATCAATGGGATCGTCTCTGAGGCACTCTGGAAAACACCACCACAGGAGTAGTCATTGCAGATGGCTTTTACCGGAGTGAAACCAGAGGAATTCAAATAGCAATAACAACTTTGATCCACAGAGTTTGTCTTGCAATTAACAGACCAGCTTAATGTATCCTGTGAGGATCATAAGTGGATCAAGAAGTTTTGGCAGTTTTTTATATTAGATGTATTGCAGCAGTTATCTAGGAGCATCATTAGACTAGCAAAGAAAAAAAAAAAAAGAAAGGAAAACTAAAAAAAAAAAGGGCCCTGTGCAGAATTGTTTTAAGTGGGGGTGGGGTGGTAATTCCTGTGAAAATTGTCATTTCCAAAATACTCACAATTCGTCTCCAAAAGATTTCAAATCTTCATCTAAAAACTAGAGGTTTCATTTTTAGGGGAAAAACAAACAAACAAACACACAAAGCACACTTTTTCTCTGCAACACTTTAATTCAGCTAAAAATACTTTTCTCCCCCACCCCCAAGTTCTATGTTTAAATGCTACTCAAAAAAACATTCAACACTAGATGTAATTAAAGAAAGAACAAACGCTAAGGGGAGCACACAGAAATTGACAGCATAACAATTCAATGTACCAATTAATTCGGAACTTTATAATCTTTTGAGACATCTATATTTTAATATTTGCTTTGTTGCAGTTTAGACCTCACTTAACCTGCCAGTTTACAGGCTCTCAAGGACAGATTATTTCTCACATGAAACCCAATGCCTAGATCTTTTACATAAACTAGCAGCTCACACAGACTAATAATTGTAGATTTGTATGACAGGATTAAATCACATGAGCAAAAGAAGCTGAACATCAGATCTAGATCCAAAAATTCACTTGGACAAGCAACAGAAAGTCTAAATTTTAATTATTCTTTGCTTACAAGCTTTTGAGAAACCCACATGGTAAGCAACTGAAATACCATGTTATATTTAACCATTAAAATAAAGAAGCACATAAAATGCTTTAACTTTTTTTAAAGAAAGTGAGTGCTGAAAAGTTTTGTGATCTGATGCTTAAAGCTTTAGCAAAGACTAAACAGTATGCCTAATTTTATCCTCTGACTATAATAATATTGCATAATAGAACAAAAACACACAATACTGAAGAATACTGATAAAGAATAGTTAAATTATTTATATTCAGTCTACTAACTCGGCCATTGGCCACCATAGGGAATATACATTATCTTGCGTGAGAAAAGAGCAAGGGAGTATTCCATTAATCTGTACACATGTGGGAACAGTTTTCTTATCTGAGAGAGAACTTAAACCATTTTTATTCATTTCTAATTGTCCTGGAGGCCAGCTGCAAATAAATAAATAAATAAACAAACCCGCACATACGGTTGTTAGCTCACAAGTGACCTCTGTTCTCTACAGGCCAGGGAGCCAGGGGCACCAACAGGCCTCAGCCGCCCTGAGAGGCCTTACCTGGGGCCTGCACCCACAGTCCCGTCTGTCCTTCAGGCCCCGGTTGGGCCCAACTTACTGCCTGGGCTGACCTTGGACCTTACCTGCCCCTTTGCAGCTGCCCACCTGCCACTGGACTGACAGTGAAAACTGTCCCTGTTACGAGCCAGGCCCTGCTCGGGTGCTGAGGGGCTGTGCGCTGGTCGGTGAGGGCACCGCCCTGCCTGTGCTCAGCCACCCTCAACTCCTGGCTTCCGCCGGCCTTGTGGAGCAGCCCACGCCTGCTACTCCTTCACACAAGTGCTCCGAAATGCAATTTCTCTCCTTCAGAATGGTGACAGGGAGAAGTAGTGTCCGTCCATTTGATTTCAGTGACCAAGATGTCAATTAAAAGCTACTAGAGGGTTTCCTTGTTCACAGCTACAGCAGTTTCCTTTTGAGAAACACTCCGTAGCCAATCACTTAGGCTCAGGCAAGGATCTCAGTGAAGTAGTAATTTATTCACAATTGCAATGGCAGGCATCCCCAAAGCAGGAGTGCTCATCTACTAGTTCCAAAACACAGTTTATATATTTTTTGATGACAGGACCCTCCCCTGTTTCCCCACTGACTGGGTAATACAGGCTCACAATCTATCCAATGCTTCACAGACAATGCATGGCCTTCCGTTGCCGGCCAGCTAAATTTCAATTTTCTTTTGCCTTTTTTACTGTTTGAAGTGGTAAAGTTTCTTCACTTACCTGACTTGACACCTTGATTTTCACCTAATTGCTCTAAGGAGTCTGGTTGTGTGTATTTTACAAGGTTGTCTGTTAAGCTTT